ACCCCTCTGCCCCCAGGAGCCCACCGCTCTGCCCCCCAGGTCTGGGCCCTGCTGCCCGAAAGAAGCCTGCCACCCTGACCCCCGGGTCTGGGCCCTCTGCCCAAGAGCCCCTGTCCCAGCCCTGTCCAGGCTTGCTGGGCACCCTGCCTGCTTGCCCACTTCGTCCTGGGCCATGCCCCAGACACCCTGGGCAGCACTGGCCACCCCGTCCACCCTCCCCACAGCATCTTCTTTGCCACCTGAGCAAGGAGCACCCGATCCCTGCCAAGGTCGCGCCACTTCCCCGTAGTGGCCTGAAGCAGATCCTTCCTGCCACCCTGTCCCTGAAGCGTTTCTGTGCAGCTCAATTAGCAACTCGGTCCCAGGTCTCAGGAACGTGTGTCGCGGCTTTCAGTCCCACATGGTCTCAGACACTGGTGCTAGGAGCTGAACTTGCATCATCCTAAGGGTTGTGCCGCTGCTGGGACCTGGGGGTCCCACGGACCCAACTCATCTCGCAAATTAGATGCAGTTCTTTTTGGGCCAAAGATAAATATATGCATGACTGGCCTGCACATTTAGAATTGTGCCTTGCATTATCTAGTAATGACGGCAGTGGACTGAAAAGCAGGACTTCTGGGTTCTCCAGCTCACTCTGCTGTTGAGGCTCCGAGATACTCTAAGGAGTGTTGCTGAGTGGCGTTCTTCATCGGTGGTGCAGTCGGAGGCTGTGCATCGCGTGTTATGCCGTGATCGTAACAGGGTTTCAAATGCTATATCCTCCAATTTACATACATCTTACTCCAGTGATGGTGATGGCACAGCTCCTTTGCTCTCAGTGGAGTTACTGAAACCAGCATGAAATTGGAGGAACCCAGTGAAGAGTTTGGGCTTTAATCTCTCGTAGCCTTCTTGGCAAAATGCAAAAGCTCAGTTTACGGTAGTTGAGCCTACTAGAGCTTTAGAGGCTATTCTAATAATAAAACCAGTCTGTCTTCTGAGTGACCTGTATTGCTCAGTGTATTTTAAAGTGCAGGAAAATGTCACACATATTTATAAACAAACTTGCCGGCCACTCTGGTTTACCTGTCTAAGAAATATCAGCCTGCCTTTCAGTCGAGTGCTGGTGCTTTATAGAAAGAGGAATTCCTGTCTGTTAGGCACTATTTTAATCAATACTAGGAAAGGTAATTTGCCTAAAAAAAATAAGTATTTCTTTAGTTTTATGGTATTTGTGGGAATATTGTGTCATCAGTCTAATATGGGAAATTACAGTATTTCACAATGGCAGAGTAACATTTCCGTCAGTGACCACCTTTTCAGCTCTTGGTGAGAAGACAGATCACTGTGTTTCCTGTCAACTGTATAGAGACCAAAGGAACTTTCTGTGACTGTTCCCATAAATCACAGGTGATGTAGGTATAGATACATATACGTATTTAATTCCAGATCTTCGTTTGTTTGAATTGGCCGTGGTTGTTGGAGTTAATTTATAAGCATGGTAGTATTTTTGAGCGCATAAATTCTTTGCTTTCCACTCTACAAAACCAGTGTTTCTGCTGCATTGTGAATTTTATTCTCTTAGGGTTGTTTATCTGTCTTTTATACTGGCAACAGATTAACCACAGTCGGTTCTAGCACTTAGTTACTGTGGTACAGCATAAATCCTATCATGAGCTCACCTCAGATTTCCTAAGGGAAGATACTTAAACAGGATCTGTCTGATATTTTTTAGTCTCTGAGGAAATATTTTTTTCAAAAATATTGTGCTGCAATTAATCTCCTGGAAACCTGAAGAAAAAAAATCAAATTACCTAAAAAGGCTGTTTTCTGGTTCTTAAGCTTCTCAACAAAATGAAGGAAAACACACCCCTATTTATAAATATCACCTTACAGCAATTTTTAAATGTCACTGTAACACCATCTATTTTTGCAATAAAGTCACATTTGTTGTATTAGAATAAAATCCTATAAACACATACTCTAAATATGAGCAAATTCTGAACTACAGGACACAGACTTAAGCTTTATAACACTGTTTACTGTTGGCTAATGAATGCTTGCTTCTCCTAACAATTTTGAAAGTACAAACCAAGGAAGGCTAGGTTTCAGAAAAGCCTGATCAACAGTATAAAAAGACTCGTTAGAACATTTCTAATGTAGGGAATCCCCTTAGTAGGTAAGCACAGTATGATTTGGGAAATTAAATACCTCTTAGTATTTAATATTTATTAAATATTATTAAACATTTAATTTTGGTGACTTAACATGCTTAGTCACCAAAAAAAAATGTAAAAGGCTTTTACTTCAAGAGTTGCTTTAAAAAGTTAAGAACTTTTAAATTTTTCAGTGATGGAGTTTCTGGGTTCAGGTGTGTTACTGGACACACCTCAAAGACCTGTGAATTTCAGACAAGCTAGTCATCCACACTAGGAAATTTGGCTTCCATTTAAAAATAATTACCTCAAAATAGAAATGTCCAAATCTGCAAACACTATTAAAAATTCTTGGCTCCTTGATGTGAAATCTGCTTACCTCAACTGCCAAGAGGTAATTGCACGCTGCAAACTGTGTACTTACCTGGTTGTGGAAGGTTTGTTTTTCTCAAACCCTGCATTTTGTGCGGGTGCGTTAGACCAAACAGCGTGATCAAAAAGTTCTTTTTACGTGAGTGACTTCAGAACAAGGTTTAAAAGTACAGGTTTAAATCCTCATGTCTCTGCTACCTATTTCAGCATAACTTGTTAAGCTACAGACAATGGAGTGTTTGGGCCCCTTATAAGAGCTACCAATGCATTTCTTATCTTTAAGAATAGTTTTCTATGCTTAAATGTATCTTCCATTATGTTGCAGGAGGCCAAATGTGCATATATCATCATCATCATGGCTGTGTTCTGGTGCACTGAAGTGATCCCACTGGCTGTTACCTCCCTCATGCCTGTGGTATTTTTCCCTCTGCTTGGAGTTCAGAGCTCTAAATCAGTAAGGCACTTGCTCAATCCAGATCTGATACAAGGATATCCATTGCTCTGATCCCCCATCAATATTTAGCAAACAAGTGTGATAGGACGGCACTCCAGTTCTGCGGTGCTGGCTTTGAACACGTTGAGCAGTGTTCAGGGCTCCTGGATGGGAAGATGCTGAACTAAACACACATTTGCCCAAGATGTTGAGGGTGTGGGGCTGGAGGTGGTAGAGGAAAAGGTCTGTTTCTGGGCTTGGAGCCTGCTGGAGAGCATCCCACTAGTGCCAGCAGCTTGTGTGTTCATAACCCATCCCATGAGAGAGCAGTGCTGACATGTCCCCTGGGAGATTTCAAAATGCATGGGATAAACTTCTGACAGGGTAAGCAGCATGACGCCAGCAAGTACACTGTGTCCCCTCCAAAGCTCTTTCTGGCCGTTTGTGCTAGTGCTTTAGTCCAAGGGAGGGAGGCTGTATTTAGGTACTGTAGCCCAGGTTCACCTCTGGCCAACAAGCTGGTAAGGGCAGGTGTCGTTGCTAAATGTGCCGAGAAATCCTTTTTGGAGTTCAGCATTTCTAGTACCTACACAATACTTTGAGCCCCTAACAATCCTTTTGTACTTTGTTAACTCCAGATGATCCAAAACGAAGGTTCACGATGCACAAAGAGATGCTGCAGTAGAGAGTTCAGCACTTAAACAGGGGATCAAAGGTTCGGGAAACTGGAGGTTGCTCTGAGGCTGCAACTGCCCCTTCTGCCAGTGTTGGGATGGGGCTGGGTGCAGTAGATGGCTTTGAGAGGATGGAAGGCAAAATGGACTACTGGAGCTAGCAAGAGGCAACATTTGAGACCCTGACATACCTTCTCTGTCTTTCAGGTGTGCTTGCAGTACCTAAATGACACAAACATGCTCTTCGTTGGAGGGCTGATTGTTGCAATTTCTGTTGAACAGTGGAATCTTCACAAAAGGATTGCGCTGAGGGTCCTGCTGATTCTTGGGGTGAAGCCTGCACTGTAAGAGTATTACATTACTTCTTCCTTGCCTCTGGCAATTTAGCAGAGGCCTAGGGATGGTGTTTAATAACCAGCAGAGAAGGGAACCTCTTCAAGAACCTCTTTAGCTGCACTTGTAGTTTCCAGAGGTGAAGCCTGGCAGCAGGAACAGTTTGTTTGTCCTTGGCTTTAGCCAAAACCAGCATCTGGCTAAATTCTAGATGTTTGCCATTGGGGACAGAATGGTGACAGACTTAATCATGTGTCTACTAAGGAGCTAAATGGCTTTCTGGGATTCCTTCAGTGAAGGCAGCAGAGCTGTCCTAGAAGGGAATCTGGCCCTGCTTTGTATTACTGGATGCTACACACTTCCCTGTCTGGGCTCAGCTCTCTAAATTACAGTGACTACGAAGCCTAGCAGCAGCTGTTTTCTTTCATCCTTTCTCCTCTGCCTGTTTCTCTCTTTTCAGCCTTATGCTGGGATTTATGGTAGTCACTGCCTTCCTGTCCATGTGGATAAGTAACACAGCCACCACTGCTATGATGGTTCCCATTGTCCAGGCTGTCCTGGATCAAATGGACAACACAGAGTATGATGTGACCATGATGGAACAAGCAACCGGGCAAACAAATACCGTGATTGAGCTGGAGGAAAAGAATGCATCAGATCCCACTTCAGTGCATGGTAAGGGCCTTCTCAGCAGTGAGTTGGCGCTGCTGAACTTGCTACACTCAGAGCTCCCTGACCTAGAAGGAGTTCTCTGTTCCTTTTCCAAGGAAAGAGGATGGTAACCTGACTGAAAATCCCTAAATGCACGACGTTTAGGCTTTACATAATGGGTTCCAATTTTGGTGGCTGCCATTTTGTTATGCTTTGTGCTAGATCCCATGCAGATTGTTATGTTCTTTCGTTCAAGCTGGGGTCATCCTTCCGTAGTTTCCCTAGACTTAGCTGCCTGCTCAGGGAAGTGAAAAGCATATCCTGTGGGAAATATCATCCAATCCCCCAGCATCCCACTTTCTAAAGCTTGTGATTATCTGTAGGGATTCAGCTTCTAAGCTATGTAGGAATTTTTGAAAAATTTTGTGCAAACGCAACCTATTTTGGTTCTGGGGTAATAAACACCTCTCTATGGCCCAGATTGTATGTGGAGGTGGGGAGAAGAAAGAGGAATACTTTAAAAGCTACATGGAAAAGAGGAGCTGCTGTCATTTGACTTACAGTAGACAAACTACTCTTTGGAACACTCTGAAGTGTGATCTTACCCTGATGCTTGACTCCACACGGTCCTTCTGTCAATGCTGTCGTTCTGCAGTAGCTTTCACTTGGTTTGAACCATTCACACAAACTCAGTCCCTCTGATTTCACTGCTCTGTTGTGCTGTTACAGAGGGATATATTATTGAATAACATTAAAGGTCAGATCTGTAGTGCCTTTCTCTTTCAGAGGAGGAAAGATTGTCTTGGGGATTTTCATGGAAATGTGATTTCACTGGATTAGCGAGTTGATCTGCCACGATTCCCTGTGTGACTGTGTGCAAGAACAAGTGCAAATGTTGGTAGTGCATACTGTGTCCTGCATTTCAAGCCTTCTGCCTGGGACACATCATGCCCGTTTTCTGGCTTACATGTCCATGGAAGACACAGTGTAAAAGAAGGGGGTTTATGTGTGCCAGACATTGCTCTGATATGAGATTGAATCATAACTGCCATGTTGGTTTGGACCTTGGAGGCATAGTTCAGATATAACTGTGATCTCTGCTTTTTGGTTGCTTCATTTCTTACCTCACTTGTGAAGGGAGAATGCACTATGATTGTGCAAAGCTCAGACACCGTGTTTATGTAAGATGTGCAAGCCCCCAAGAATGCCACTTGGTCACAGAGTGTTCTGTAAGGTTGCTCATTTCTAACTTCCAAACAGTTGTAAGTAAAGGTAAGTTTTCATATTTGCAAATGCTCTTTTTAATGTTGATTCTTGACTCTCAAAAGCAGACCTTTGCTCTGAGACCAGTAATAATAATGTTGATGGGTTTCTGTCCACTTAGAAGGACCTGCTTGGCTTTTGCTGGCTAATTAATTTTAACGTGTGGTGAAGGTAATAAATGTGTGCAAAAAATGCCCTTTGGTATTGTGGAGTTGGTTGTAATTGCCATAAATTCACTGTCCTGCTCCATTAGTCCAGTCAGAGTTCAAGATCAGACTGTTAACCTCAGAGAACAATGGACACAGCAGCAAAATGTCATGACATAACATATTGATCTTAACATTTAGGCTAGGCAAGAATTGGTTTTGGGTGGGTTTTTTTTCTACCCATATTCACAGCTGTTTAAAACTAGTTGAGCTCTTACTGTGGTGTTGGAATGATTCCAATAACTAGGATGTTTGGCTGGTGGTAAGCCTCTCTGTGAAACAGGAAATTACTGCTGAGAAACTGTGGCACTGATGTAGACAACAGCATCCTTGGATCATGTAGACCCAGATTGTCAGCCTCTTTCTTCAGCTTCTCATGAACATGAGTCCAGAGTATTTAGGGACATATCTGCGTTTTTTTGAATTAAAATAAATGGCTTACACAAACTGGAAGCACTGAGCCTGCAGACCCTGTCCTGAACTCTCTGCCTCCCAAACTTCACCTGAGGCAAGTCATGTTCTTTGTGTCTAGTCGTAAGCAATGGACAAGTCCCTGATGACCCCAGATCTTCTGAGGAAAAGAAAATGAGGAAGCGTATATGTAAGGGAATGACACTTTGTGTATGCTATGCTGCCAGCATCGGAGGAACTGCAACACTCACTGGGACAGGACCAAACATGGTATTGAAAGGCCAGATGAATCAGTAAGTCATTCTTGCTGTTTCTCTTACTTATACTCTCCTGCTGTTTCTGTGACCAACTGGCTAGCTAGCCTTAGGTGACAATTTTGGTTCCAAACTGTAAGCAATAACAAGTTGATGAACTGAGAGTGCGGGATGTGTGTAAAGCGATGGGCCCCATTTGTTTTGCTTCCGCTTTTTTTAGGCAGCTGTGCGCTGGTATTATAAGTCTCCTAAAAGACTTGGAAATACTTGCTGGTAGTCAGCAGACAGCTAGTTGGTCATGTGATACTGGTTCTTCTACCTCCTCTTTTTCAACTGAAATGCAGCACATCAGCAGAGGAACTGCAGTGAAGAGCATCCGAAGAATGTATGGTGAACTCTTCTCATGAGCACACCAAAGAGAGCTAAAAGTAGCTTGGTGTCTCCTCTAATATTGTTCCTCCATGCTGTGGCTGTGGAAACTGTACAGATACTGTTGTAAAGGAAAGGAGTTCTCCACAAAATACTCTTTGCTAAACTGAGTTTGGGAATTGATTTAAATACAACCTAATCTACAGTGGAAATTTTGCAGACTCCGCAGCAGTCCATCAACATTACCTCCTTCTGTCGGGAGTACTTCAGCCTCAGCTGCCATATTACCTGTTGGTTTTAGCAGCCAGCTGGAAATTTGCTATTGCTATTTTTCCTGCAGTCATTATTGGTGGATGCAGGGAAGAACAAAATTCACTGATCTTAAAACACTGACTTCATTCTTTTAAGCCAACTAGCAACTTTGTCTTCTGTTGAAGAGAGTGGAAGTGCTATTAATTTCAGGAAAGACAGTTCTTGCTCTCTTATTAGAATTAATGGGGAGGAAGAGAGAACATCCTATCTTGGGATAAATGAGCAGGCATGTTGGAAGTGAAAGGTAGCTAGAATGTGTGAGAGACTTTCAGCAGCGCTTGTCTTACTGAGACCTAAAATATCAACATGAGCTCCTATATGTGTTAAAGTAAAATACGTGGAAAACTGAGGATCATTTAAGTTCTAATCTGACGTCCAGGATGCCATCCTATTGACTTCAGTTAGGCTATGGATGTTATATATGATTATTTGTAATGGTTGTCCCAGATTTACGTGTGTAATTATCACTAGCTCATATTAAAGGGAGAGTAGATTACTAAACTTTTTGACATTCATACAGAAAGCATTTTTCTTTTCAGGTTATACCCCAATAATAATGATATTGTGAATTTTGCTTCCTGGTTTGGGTTTGCATTCCCAAACATGATTCTGATGTTGGTACTAGCTTGGCTTTGGTTACAGTGCTCCTTCATGGGACTCAAGTGAGTATTTAACTGCATGATACTGTGTAAACCCCTCAACTAATGCAGATCACCTTACTGAGGAGTCTGTATAAAACAAGTGCACTGACAAGTTACTAATTTTGTAGCAGAGAGCAGTTCCATTTCACAGCAACTTTTGAGGTCTAGAAACCTTTTCTGTTCATGGGAGTCGCACTAAGGCAAAAGTTTTATACATTCTTAATGTTCAGACAGAATTGCATTTTTATTTTTCAATTTCACATCCGTGAATTTCAGCCCTAGGAGAGCTGGCATATCTGTTTTGGTACCCTCGATTCAAAACTGAGTTTTTCATCCCTGGTTGCTCCAAATTGGACAGGGACTTACATCCATTCATAGACCCCATTCTTCTGTGAGAACTGGCATGTCCCCATGAAATACTTTGACACTGTTGTCATTTCTTTGTTCCTGACCTTTGCTGTAGTCTGTGTCTCTCCTCAGGAGTGACAGCTTCAGAGTGGCAAGCATGTTAAATCCCTCTAGTATCTTAATACTTATAGAATTTTCTTCTCCCTTTTTCTTAAAGCTTTAAAAAAAGCTGGGGCTGTGGCACAGAGAGAACTGCTAAAGAAAAGGCTGCATACAATGTGCTGAAGGCAGAAATGAAGAAATTAGGTCCTATCTCTTATGCTGAATCCAATGTCCTCCTAATGTTTGTTTTGCTGGTCCTCTTGTGGTTTTCCAGACACCCAGGCTTTGTAAAAGGCTGGGCCACCAGGCTCTTCCCAGAAGGAGAAAAGTAAGTTTTTAGGTTTTCTTTCATTCTGTACCCTCTTGATTGTGAATCAGATTCCCTTGCTCTTGCATTCCATTTTGAGTGGAGGGTCACTCATTCTAACCTTATCCGAATTCACTTGTTTGCTGGGCTTGATCCTATCGCTTGTGCGTGAGATCACCAATTGATGTATTGTTTGACAGTTTGTACTGCAGTCAAGGCTGGAGACTGGGACACGGAGCAAGCTGAAAGTCCTAAAGGAAGAGAAAATTCTGTAATGCTGATCTCAGTCACACTGATGTACACGTTAGTATTTTGTTTGTATGAGCTCAAATCAGTTGCGGTGTCAATTGAATATTTGGTAGTATCACCTCTAAACAATAGCTTAGAACTTGCTGAGAAATTGATTTGGTGCTTTGAATGGCTTCTTTGCATAATGTCTGTGGCATTTTAAGAACACAAAGTGCATGATGGGACTCGTTCAGGCTATTTCTTTACACATCTTTCTTTGAGATACGACTTTTGAGTCTTGGCTTCACCACAGAGAAGGAACCCTGCTCCCAGGAGCCATTGTCATCTGTGACTCTGGTTATTAACGTGTATTGTGGCTAGTTTCTTTAATTACTGTGTTGTGGCAGGTCTGAGAGACCTCAGTCATGAACTAATGACCCATTTTGCTTATGTACAAGTCCCAAACAGGATGACAGAGAGCAGTGACTGCAATGCTGGAAGGCAGCCATCTTCTAGGAGAAACATTTCTATTTTCTAAGCTATGTTCTCTTTTCTTCTTTAGGTATATCACGGATTCTGCTCCTGCTGTGTTTATTGCCCTGCTGCTCTTTATCCTTCCTGCTAATAAACCCAAATTCATAGGCTGGAATCCAAGCGACCCTGAACAGACTGAAGAAGGTATTTAAAAGAGGAGTTGTAACATTGTGGAACAGTTAGCCAGCTCCAGCTAACATGGCAGAAACATGTACTGGATTTGCATGCGGTTCTTCATTTCCCTCGTTTCTTGGGCAGGGCTGGGGCACAGTCCCTGCTTGTGCGTATTACCCTTCCTCTGTGCAGGTTTCTCAGTAATGTGCATCTGCCTGTTGGGTCTTTCCAATCTTATAGAACAGGAGGCAAAATGTCTTCACTCTCCTAAAACATGTTTTGCTTTTCATTTCTCACTTCAGATATAAAAAAGCCATTTTTATCAGCCCCGCTGCTAGACTGGAATGTGGTTCAGAGGAAGATGCCCTGGAGTATTGTGCTGCTGCTGGGAGGAGGTTTTGCTTTGGCTGATGCAAGCGCAGTATGTCCTGACATCTGTTTTTCTCTGACTCAGAGATGAACTTCCCTGGTTTGTTATCTAGTCCTGTATTACTGGGCATGCACCCAAAGCCAAACCCAGTGGAGGTGTTCAGATCTGGAGGCAGATCCAAATTAGCAAAAATTGGGAGGAGAGTTGGATGTTTCAGCCTCTTTTTCAGGAATTTGTGTACACTGACCAGGTTTCTTCAATTTATCTTGCCTCTTGGAGGTTGCCAAGTAGTTTGGGATCTTTGCTGGCTGGACAGACCAGAAAAGCAGCCTTTCTTATTTCTGTTATCATCCCGATCCCAGCCCTGGCTAGAAAAATAGAAGTATAGATAACACTTGTAAGATTTTTCAGAACCATTTGAGGTTTGTTTAAAGGATACATGTCTTCCGATTTAAACGAAACCACTGCTGAAGTGGTCAGGAAGAAAATCATTGTGGGTAGATATCTTCCAAAATTGTGTACAGTGGGGTTTCTTGCACTTGTTGTCAGTGGCTGTTGCCAGGCAATATGCTACATTCCATAAGCCCACGGTTTGGTCCTACATTCATAAATTCACAGAAAAGGCATCTGAATTCCGAAAAAAGAAAGAATCTTGAGGTGAACCATATCGTTTCCTTCCTCACTGCTAACATGAATCTAAATCAAAGCAAGCCTTATCTATCAACAATGCCATGTTTTGGGGGAACTCATAATCAGATCTAAGTTTTGTGGCCACATAGTTTTAAACCATGGGGCAAATTAAAGCTTTAGGGCCTTACATTCATCTACATACATCATACATGCATTATTAAAGCTCCAGAGCATTAGAAGCCATCAAGTCAAAGGTGGTGTAAGCTGCTTGAGTCAATCACTGGCTATGTTCCTTCAACAGACCATTCATACAGCATCAGTGTCTTCAGGAACCATAGAAAAACATGCCAGGAAACTTCAGAGTGGTACATTAAGTATTTGCAATTGTCTCAGCAATAATTGTTTCTGTTTAGCAAAAAACCATAATTTCGTAACCAAAGTGTGAGCAAAAATTTGTGTTCCAGAAAAATCAGGAAAGTGGGACTCAGTATTACGTCTAGTTGGCAAGGAATTTCTTTTAGTGCTTGTAACAGATCATTGTACTTTCCTGGATGGTGTTTGTATAATTCAGGAGTTATTTAGCATTATTCGGTAGGAATGTTACGTGTAACATGAGCTCCCTGTTCATGAGCTAGGGGTTCTAAGCCTCACTGAAAACCACTTTTTTTCTTGTCAGAACTCTGGGCTTTCAGCTTGGCTGGGTCATCAAATGACCCCACTAGGATCTATCCCACCATGGGCCATTGCAACAGTACTTTCGCTTATTATAGCTGTCTTCACCGAATGCACCAGTAATGTCGCCACAGCCACCCTCTTCCTACCTGTCTTTTCATCCATGGTAAGATTACTTCCATCCTGTTACCCTGTCAACTGGGAGATCAGAGTTAAACTGACAGTCTCTTGTGGCAAAGCAATATCGTATTTATTGTCTTGAATGTTGCTCCAGTGTTAATCTGACAGCCGGTCATGAAACAGTCCATCTGACAGTATACCGTAATGGACAGTGATTTTAGCTGGTGTTCACTGCTATGTGTATATTATCATAGGTAGATAGAAAGTGGGAATGCAAACTTTCTCCCATCTGCCTTACCTATATGCCTGAAGCCTGAGAACCAGTTTCCTGGGGGAAGAAGCTAATTCAGGATACCTGCCCCATGGCACCCTCACTGGAAAGGAAGCCAGTTCAAGCCTTCTGTAAGGTGTGTCCCTTGTCTCTGGAGAAAGTGAAGTGAGAGTCACTTTTTAAATACAGATCAACAAACATCGGTCACTTCTGGTCAATTTGTACTTGAACCATCAACTCAGAACTGGAAAAACACACACACAGAAAACCCAAACCAAAACAAAATCCAACACTTTCTGTTCATCCCTTTGAATGGTTCCTTCATCTTCAAGGTTTTATGCTACAATACAGAAACTAGTAGGCCTGGTTATTAGAAATTTGTCATTTTCTGTAGGAAGCCAGAACAATTTTAAAACTTAGGGAGGAAAAACTGGTAAGTTTTGCTGCCTTTTCTCAGCAGAATTTAAATTGTAGCATAAAGGGAAAAACAGGTTACTTTTTTTCTTTAATTTGGAAAGAACAGCCGCTTTATTCTAGACCATTTCACCACAGTAAAATTATCCCAATCAGGGTGCTGAGCTATTAGTGACTGAAATTGGCACTTAAATTCTGAGTCCCAGAGTTTATGTAATGTCTGAGAGTGTTACTCCACATGCCTGGTAGTTAAAATCCCATCCCTGTGTTACCCTGGCAGAAGTGTGGTCCAAGGTCAAAGAAAAGATCGTTGGATAAATTTGAGCAGAACTCCAAATTATACCATAGACCAAAACAAACAGTGAGAAAGAATCAAGCATTGGTTTTAAGTATCGTGGGACAGGAAACGAGAGCAAAGTTATCTTTAAGCACATACGGATTTTGGAATAAAATGCTTGTAAATTACTCTGGCGATAAAATACCAGGAAACGAAATGAGCCTGTGTGTCTCAGTGGTCTGGAAAATGTTCTTTATGCTTTTCTTTTGGAGCACCACCAGTGTGGTATTCTCTCCGTTTCATTGCAGGCTGCATCTGTCAAGATCCATCCTTTGTATGTTATGCTGCCTGGTACTCTCAGCGCTTCCTTTGCCTTCATGCTACCTGTTGCAACACCGCCAAATGCGATAGTGTTTTCCTATGGCCACATCCGTGTTTTGGATATGGTAAGATGATCGTTGCCTGGTCTCTTATCTGAAGCTCTCCATTGCCTTTCTCCTGAAATATGGTGAGAGTTTAATTTTCTTAGCTGGGTATTTCCAAAGTACCAGGAAGCTCTTGTGGGCTGTAACAACCACACTGTGCCCGTCTCTTATGCAGTGTTAATATTACAATAAAGATTTGCATCTCTGAATTAACAGTACATTTCTCACAGGCTTTGGCAGACATACGGCTCAGCCCGATTGAAATTAAAATCTGGCATGTCATAAGTCTCTTAAACGCTGAAGGGTTAAAATGCAGTCGGTGCTTTCCAGTCTTCTGGGGCTTTGGCGAGTGTAGCTACAGCCTTGTTTCCACTGGAGCTGAAAGCAGAAGGTAACAATCAGTTGCCCTAGGCTCTGGTCCTCTGATTGCCTGCCAGACCTCGCAGTGCCAGGTTCTGCGCCGAACACACAAACATTATCGGTTTTCCAACTGGAGACTTGAAGGGGCAGAAGCTGTTGTTTAACTAATAAGAGCAGCCTGTTGTACATCCCTTAAAGCTCCTAGACTAGTTACATTGCAAAGCGTTCAGAGGCTTTGCACAACGTGTTCCCTGGTATTTCTGCCCAAGCAGGAACATAGGGCAGTGGGTGCAGTGGCTCTTTCTGTGATTTATCTGGCCATGTCTGTCTTGTCTATGTACAAATAGGCCTTGATGCAATGTACTGTGCTGGTGTTTGGTTATTGTTGGTGGTTTGGACTTTTGTCCCCACAGGTTCGATCTGGAATAGTGATGAACATCATTGGAGTCTTCTGTGTCACACTGGCCATCAACACATGGGGAAGACCTATGTTTGAGCTGGACACGTTCCCAACCTGGGCAAACAGCACAACGAACCAGTGAGCAGTGAAGAATTCATGTGTTAGACAAGGGAAGGACCCTGAATACCACTCTCTATTGCCCAAAGCTCTCTATTGGTTCTCATCACTGCTTCAGATCCAGTGTCAGGTTTTTGCTACCTTCTGGGAGTCACACATCAGTTCAGGCATGAACCAACTCAAATTTATTCCGGTGGTGCTGGAACCAGAAGTGCTGTTTAATCACACAGCTCTAAGGATCATGTGTCTGGATCGTAAGTGTGATCAAGTGATCCGTTGTACCTCCAATCAAGGTCGAGATTTATCGAACTTTAAATAAAGAGAGGGCAGGCTGTTGTATCAAATGGGTTGAACTATCATATCACTGGTGTGGACTTGTAAATCATTAGCATTGAAGACTGCGCTCAGGCAGGGGCTGAAAATTCATTAACTATTACTTATGTCCGCAAGTTAGCAGCTGTACAGAGAAATCCATGTTGTCACTTCTCTAGTGAAAGAAGGGGTGCATATGTTATGTTATGTTATGCTATGCTATGCTATGCTATGCTATGCTATGTTTTAGTCGGGCCTCAACCATGTGATGGAATCCTTCCAAGTCAACATCCAACATATTTTCCGTTGCCTTGGTTTTGCTCCCAAATCTCACTGCATTTAGACACCCTTATTGAGGGTTGAGATAACATAATTCCATGCTGGTTGTGATTCAGCTGATGTCTTGGGCAATGAGTTAGGGCTGGCTTTGTGTTTCTTGCACTGTGGCACTGGCAGGGCCAGGATTCTTTTCCCTCTCTCGGCCAGAGGATGTGTTTTCACATGCCAACCAGTGTTTTGTTAGTCCCAGCCTGGAAATGACCAGTGGCCTATAGGACTTCACACCTATTGTGAAAGTTCCGGCATTAGCCCCTGATGTGCCTTATTAATTAACTCTGAAATTTTGAAGTGGTGACAAGGCATGAGAAAGGCTCTAACTGAAGGCCTTATAAAAATGTGGGGGCCCAGATGTTAGGGCTTGTGCTGGCTGACAGCAATGGGAGTTGTCTTGTCCACTTTGGAATTCAGGTCCTGTGAGAAAAGTGTTTTGTAGCACTGTTTATGTCATTTCCGAAGCAGAAGTAGTCTACAGAAGGATTGCACTAGGTGTATTTTGTCAGTGGTACATGGATGCTTTTCATGCCCTGGAGATGAAGCTGGGTGGGAGGTAAGGCAGTGTGTTAACAGTGGAGAGATCTGTGGGCATGACCCGAGTTCTGCTCCCAGACTTGCTGGGCCACTGCACACAAGTCAGTTCACCTCTTTTTGCCTCAGTTTCCCCTCCTGAAGAAGATGTCATGGTACCTATCTACCTCACAAGGGTGTTGTGAGGACATAAGGGTCAAATTCTGCACTCATGGTGATTCCCCCACCTCATTATAAGGGGTGCAAGGAAGAAGTTACAGAATGATAGAATTCTGGCCAGAGAATTCTGGCCAGAAGATGTGGCCTCTAGCGTAGTAGTGTGTGCAGGATATTTAATAGTTTTGTTATTAACATGAATGTTCTTTATAGAACTGGAAAAATACTCACATTTTTGTCTTTAAAAGTGAGGAAAGTATTTATCCACAAAATGACCAGGTGCTTTTCTGAGCAGAAAACTACTTCAAGAATGATTTGATTTCCATGCCTTTATCTTCTGTGCTCTTTCAAGGTGCTGGGCACCATAGCCTCTCCACTGACCGTTGGCACCCTATCTACCCAGCTAGCTGAATGTAGCGCAGCCTCATACCTCTTCCCTGGAATGGTGGAGCATGTGGATAAACATTGTTCCACTTGCAGAGTCTATCCTAAGGAAGAGGCCAGTTCTAGTGCCAAGAAGTGGCTTGGTCACAGACATTTGTCACCACCTGAAGCCTATCACAGTATTTCTTTGAAGGAGTTGAAACCAGGAACAGTTAAGCACCTTCTGTGCTTTGGCAGTCACCACTTCATGCTGATTTGCATCTGTAGGTATCTACCCTTGAGAAAGGGACTTTTTCTGCCTTCTGATGAACTTCACCGCATGAGGACATGTCACTGCTGCCAGGTAATTCATGGTGCTTGCTCTTCACCATTGCAAGTAGCGTACAGTGGAGCTTGCGTGGGTGGGTAACGCTGAGCTTGCCTGTCACAATTCGTGCAGATCAAAACTCCTCTAAAACCAGTTTCAGCTAAAAGCCCTAGGACAGATACTTCCCTGTCCCATTTGCTGAATGGAATGTTCTGAAAGTTTCTGGAAGGGGAGAAACTGCCCTCATCTCAACTAGGGAAGAGCTTCCCTCCGTTGCCGTGCAAGCGGAAAACAACTGATGTTTTCATCAATCGTCACACAGGGTGATTCATTGACAGGAGTGCTGGGGCAGGGGCAACGTACACATGGGGTAATAAAGAATGCTGGTTTTGTAATAACTGTGGTGTATTTGATGTGTCATCTCGATGTCCTGTTAATAGCAAATGTTTCTTTCTGAGACACTTTTATGACATCCTGTGATTGATTTGAATTTAATTTAAATGGATGATTAGCAGAATTAGAGCTTGGCAAATAAAAAATTACTAGAACTGTCTCCTCTCTGTCATGGATATCTTTCTGTCTAACACAGCGAACCACTTGTTTCTGCATTAGCTTCCACTGTAGCATGGTATTGCTCCAGTAAGATCCAGGAGGGTACACACCATAGAGCATCAGTGCAAAGCAGAGATTTGGATACCGTTTTAAGTACATTCAGACCTGTATATCAATGGCTTCTCCTCTTTCCTTAGCTCAGTGATAACTCAAGTTTCTATCTTTGAAAATGCTCGGGTGGGACCAAATCAAATGGCGTGCCCTACCAGCAATCTCATTCATTGCAGAGTAAAAGATTGTAAGAAACTAAGAAACACAACTAGTTTTTAAGAATTAATCTTGTACAAACTCTCCAGTAGAACTGGCACAGACAGGCCTTTCTCCAGCATCAAGCATGCATGTCGTCCTGTTCCAGTGCCCTAAGTAAATATATGTGTTACTTACAATGGGTGATGGAAGGACAATTGCTTTGTTACTGGAGCTAGATTACCTACTTCCAGCACTGCAGGGTAAGTATGATAGATAGCAGTCTTGCATGGCATTTATTTTTCTTCTCATCCAAGGGTTTTTGTTCTAGGTGCAAAAGTTGTGATGGTCCGAAGGTAGTGGCATAAAAGAATCCCTCTGACCCCACTTCAAAACATGCACCACCAGAGCCAAGAGAGAACATGGGAGGATTTTCAGTGTGGGCTTTGTCAGGACGGGCTGCTCGGCCGCACTGAACTAGCAAACTGCTCCTGTTCTAACCCATGTGGGCAGAGCGCGATTGCTGGTGGTGAGTGGGTCTGTCAGCTGTCCAGCCGGTGGAACAGCAGGCACTGCTGCCTGTAGGGAGCTAAATTAGTCCTTGCCCGTTTTCTGTTTGCTCTCTATAGAATGTCCTTGACTTTTCATTTCTTCTCTGGGAATACCAAGTTGCTAATACTGTTTCTGCAAATGTTGAATGTCTCAAACCTGCAGAATGGGCTGCTGTTATACAGGGTTTGCTCCTGCTAGTTCGTGTTACCTGGGTGCAGACTTCCACAAAGTATTTGCTCTTTGGGAATGGTTACGTATGTGTGAATGGCCCAGCTACAGGAAAACATACAAAAGGGGGACAAAGGTATTTCCTGCCTATGTGCTGAACATCTAGATCTGTGGAATGGAGAAGAAAAACTTCTCTAGGATCTAGAAGTCACTAAACTGAAAAAAGCACCCAGCAATAGACTCAAGCTTAATGTGGATGCCAAAGTCTCTCCCTTTTCTCCTAGGTATGAGTATGTTCATCTTTGGCCTGCCACAGAGATCTGTCTGAGCCCTAAGTTTGAAGAAGGGCTATGTTGTGCAGGTCACCTCTTTGGCTGCTGTCGTCTGCTGAATTCAGAGTAGCAGGTGGTCCATTCTGGCTGAGTTCTGATCTCACTTGAGCCCAGTCTTTGGGTTATTCAGACTGTTTTCCAGCTCAGATATGTTACCACTTGAAAGAGCAATAACCTGGCTGTAGCCAAAAAAAAACATTTGCTGATAATCTGTTGGAATTGGACAGTTGGTGAAAATCGGCCCAGAAAAAAAAAATAGATCACTGAATCAGTCCTAGCCAAAATCCAGCAGTGATTCCTTAACACAAAAGCACCTCTTCCTTTTTAGTAATGACCTATCATATACTTTTTTACGTATTTCACATCTTTTTTTCCTAAATGTCTGTGCTAAATATGGAAAGAAGTGGGTAGTGGTGAATCCTGAACACTTGGGTCAAGTGACAGATAGTTTTCACATTGTTTCTCCAGTGTGAGTAAATAAACATGTGACTTTAGCACAGTGCTCAGTCCGGTTGTGTCACCGCGAGGTCTCCAAGACACTTGTGCTCTGCAGCACAACCCCAGCAGCCCATTACACTTGCTGTCCTTGGCATTTGTCTGCATGACTTAACGGCAGGACGCTCACTTTCCTCTGTCCGGAACTATCCCAGTGGCAGCTCTTCTGCATCAGATCAGACCTTCACTTTTATGTGTCTTTGCTGGCTCCTTTGTGAACAGTCTGTGGTGTAAAGAGGACTCTGCCATGCACTACACACTGCATCTGCTTTGCAAGACATGACCGAAGGCGTTACCGTCCTCGAGCACAGCACCTGAATCTCCCTGGGCCTGATGATCTTACACAGTTGTCAACTCCACAGGAGCATTTGCAGAATACCCCAACTTGGTAGTGCCAATTGCTACAGGTGAATATTGACAAAACCAGCTCAATGAATAATAATGTTGTTATCCAAAGCCTAAAAATAGTTTCTTAGGAAACCTAGTCTCATAACATAGTTTCATTGAAATAACCATGATGGAAAAGGGGAGAAATTTATCAAAAATTGGTAGGATAGAGGAGGGGGCTAGTTTTACTGTTTTATTCATTACTAAGATTTTGACTCTTAACATTTCCTGTATAACTGTTGCTGTCTAGTTAGAGTTATTAGGGGTAGATTTTATACCCACTCTGGTCTTACTTTATATCCTGCCAAGATTTTTCACCTCCAAAACTGACAGGAGGCTTTTTCGTGCACATTCACCTGGACAGCCATTAAAATCCAGCTTCTGCTATCAACAGAACACTCAAGGAAGATGAAAGTTCCTAGAAGGTTGATGAGCATTTTTTGAAG